GCCCATTATATTTCACATTAGTCAGTGCAGGAAATTGTTCTAATTGTGGTCTTTCACTCACATTCCTTACTTCAGTTCCTGCAATATGAATTTGTCTTAATTTCCAACTTATTACAGTGCAATACAAGTTTTTAGGTGCTGTGTGTATATGTGTTGGGATTTTGTTAAAGCAGACAAGAAGAAAAGATACAGCAGGTATCTTTCAGTAACACACACCATCCTTGTCCCTCTTCCTTTAGTGCTTTTACAACACTATGAATGAAATAAGCATTAGTGAGGTGTTGTTCAAGGCACGAACCCCACTCAGAGACGAACGAGTGCCAGAGCAGAATTACCGTTTATTCAAACTGCCTAGGTTTAAATACCACACCTGAACATGTCACATGACCTTCTAACCAATGACAATCAAGTATTGTCTGAGAACCCGGGAGACTACAACTCCCATGGTTCCTTGTCACATTCTTCCTGCCACATCTCCCCCCTCTTTTTATTAACAAGTTGAGAAACAATACATTTTTAACATTCTTATTATAACCAATCTTATTTCAACTAATTATAAAAAACAGGGCCTATCGTCACAAGGTCTTTATTGAACTGTTTACAACTTTATTGGTTCGTGCAGTATTCAAGCAACCTCAAATTACCCAGGGTTTGTAGGTGTGGATAACCTTTTATCTGAGGGTGACTTTGTGTAATGGCATCATCTTTATTTAGAAAGGAAATGTTTTGGGTTGTAGATGTTGTTTTTGAGGTGGTGTTGTTTGAAGTAGTGTTTAAGATGTCTTGCCATAAAGTATACTTGGGTTCACACACACATACATGCATCCACTCAAATTTCTCATTCATACTCCGGTGGCCACCGTTTCATTCTCTCCTTACACATGCATTCTTAAACCCTTTATTGTGTTTGGGTCATGGAGTTCTGGTTTTGTATTGGTTACTGTTTATATGTTTCTTTGTGATTATCCCTGTTTTAAGGAGATGTTAATGTAGATTTACACACATAGGGAACAGACCCATATCTCTCTTCCTCTCTCTCTTTTTTTTTTTTTTTTCTTTTTTTTTGATACCATGTTTTTCACTGTGTGATGTGTTTACTATTGTTGGTCATGTTTCTTCTAATCCAGATCCTTCACTTATTTCTTCTGGTGGTTGTTCCTGTTGTAGGGGAGGCCTAATATAAGGCCTGACACATCTAGAAGGGACCCATTGTAATTTGGTACCCTTGGATACACAGGCATATCCCCTTCCCCATGTTATGAGGTCTACTGGTCCTGACCATTGCCCAGATATTAGATCTTTGATCATAACTGGTGGTTTGGAAGATGAAAGTATTTGAGTTTTATGTTGGCGTTCATACCTGCTATGGTCTGTATCATCACAGTTTAAGAAATTTAGAACATATGACGCTTTCCATAAGCGTTCCTGGGGGCTATATACCGACTCCCCTCTTTTTTGTCTTTGAAGCATTTCTTTTAGTGTACGGTGAGCTCTTTCTACAATCGCTTGTCCTGTGGGTGAATGCGGTATACCTATGGAATGGAGTACCCCCCAATCTGTGAGAAATGTTTTGATTTTTTCAGAACAATAAGCAGGGCCATTGTCGGTTTTTATGGTTTTTGGAATTCCTAAGATTGCGAAACAACTGAGCCAGTGTCTGATAATGTCTTTGGCTTTTTCTCCCGTGTGTGCTGTTGCATTGATGTATTTGGAATGCGTGTCTACTGTAACATGGACATATTTTAGTTTACCGAATTCAGCTATATGTGTAACGTCTGTCTGCCAGATTTCATTGGCTGTTATGCCCCTGGGATTAACCCCTTCCTTAACTGGCATTGGGGTAATTTGCTGGCAGTCAGAGCATGACATAATTATGTCTCTGGCCTGGTTTATTGTAATTTGAAATTGTCTCTTTAATGAACGTGCATTTTGGTGGAAGAACTGGTGTGAGAGTTTAGCCTGTTCCAGAATTTTGGGAACTGTAGTTACCATAGCAGCTGCATCAGCTTTTTGATTGCCCTCTGCTATGGGTCCTGGAAGTTCTGTGTGTGACCGAGTGTGCATTATGTAAAAATCAAATTTTCTGTGGTTGATAAGAAACCATATGGTACGAATTTCTGTGAATAAGTGAGGATTAGTGACATCTCGAAGAAAGGAGGCTTCGAGACGTGAGACCAACCCTGCTGCATAGTGAGAATCTGTGACAACATTCATAGGTTGATCATGGAACAATTCAAATGCCATGCGGATAGCTGCTAGTTCTAAAACCTGTACAGAACCGTGGTCCAAGGTTTGTACCTTCTTGTCCCATTGTCCTGTGGCAGGGTTCTTCCATGTCATGGCGGCTTTTTTCGATCGTCCAGACGCGTCAGTGAAGACTGTGATTCCATTTACTGGTCGTAGTTTGCAGCGACGTGTGGCCATCAGGGGTAGATTTCCTATTTCCGCCCAGAGTTTATGTTTCGGGAAGTGAATGGAAATATTACCGTGGAAGTCCGCTAATGCAGTCTGAAACCCAGCGTCCTCTGCAAGAAGCCAGTCTAAGTTGTCTTCCGTGGCTGGAATGTAGATCGTGTCAGGATCCCCTCCATCCATCTCCTGCAGACGTCCTCTACCTTTCATGACTAGCTTAGCAAGCATGTCATTAATGGTCCAAACAGTCTTAGGTGGAGAGTGGGGAAGAAATAACCATTCTAGAATTCTCAAAGGGTCGGATTCTGCCTGATCCCATTGGAAAAGGACAGCAAAATGTTGGAACTTGCTGGATATGATGGCGAGGCGAATGTGCAGGTCAGGGTGTCGTCGTCTGCTTTGCCTGTTTTCAACGGCCTGGGAGCATACTTCCAGAGCTTGTTTTGCTTCTGGGGTTAGGGATCGAATAGATGTGAGAGTTGGGTCACCTTTAAGTAGCTCGAAGAGGGGGTGCAATTCCTCTGTTGTGATCCCCAGGAAAGGCCTCAGCCAGTTAATTGCTCCTAAAAGCCGTTGCAAATCATTCAGGGTCATAGTGTCTGTTACTTTGAAAGTCAGTGGTTGTGGCATGATTTCCTGTTGAGTGATCCTCCATCCGAGGTAGGTCCAAGGTCGGGTGCGTTGAATTTTTTCTGGGGCAAGCTGTAGACCTGCTTTTTGGATGGCGTCAGCTAAGGCAGTCAAGGTGGATTGTAGTTCGGTCTCGTGTTTTGCTGCTATCAGGATGTCATCTATATAATGATAGATGATGGTTGAAGGGTGGAGTTTTCGAACAGGGTGTATGATGTTGGTTACCACTGTTTGACAAATCATCGGGCTGTTTTTCATGCCCTGAGGCAGTACTGTCCAGTGGTATCTTTGCATGGGTTCCACATGATTGTAGGCTGGAACTGAAAAGGCGAAGCGAGGAGCATCTTCTGGATGTAAAAAGATTGTAAAAAACCAGTCTTTCAAGTCTATTACTACTAGTGGCCATCCCGCAGGTAGCATGGCAGGGGAAGGAAGTCCTGGTTGCAGTGTTCCCATTGGCTCGATGGCTGCATTAATTGTTCTGAGGTCTTGTAGTAAACGCCATTTGCCGCTCTTCTTGGGTATGCAAAACACCGGAGTGTTCCATGGGCTAGAAGTTGGTACTGTATGTCCAGCATTTAGTTGTTCCTGTACGAGGTCTCGCAGGTGACCTAGCCGTTCCCTCTTCAGGGGCCATTGGTCCACCCATATCGGGTTATCTGTCTTCCATTTTAGTTTGATAAGTTCACGGAACGGCTGACCAATGACCCTTACTGAAAAACCTGATTGTTTGCTGTTGCTATCTGTACAATGGTACCAAATTGACCGAGGACATCCCTTCCCCACAAGGTACATGGAATGGGAGCTATGAAGGGTGCAATCCTAGCAGTCTGTCCCTCAGGTCCCAATACCGTACGCAGATGCTTGCTCTGTCTAGGTCTTTGCATACCCCCCACTCCCAAGATGGTTGAGGCGGGGTACACAGTGGGCCATTCTGATGGCCACTCAGAGTCTTTAATTATAGACACATCTGCACCTGTATCCACTAAACCCTTAAATTTACGCCCATCAATATGACATGTCATCATGGGTTGGGAGGCAGAGATCGACTTGGCCCAGAAGATCTGTTGGGGATTTGTGCCTGCAAATGCCTCAGTACTCTTATCACCCTTTTGTGTGGAGGAAGTGCTATACAAAAGGAATTAATTGGGCTAAGTGCTGCCCTTTTGGTATATAACAAGGCGGCACAGGTGTCCAGGCCATGATTTGGATTTCATTATGAGAATCTGGATCAATTACTCTGGGTAAAATGAATATACCCATCGTGGTAGTTGATGAGCGCCCAATTAGTAAGGCATGCATTCCCGCCTTTAGAGGTCCCCAGACTCCAGTGGGTATCAAAACCACTGCAGTAGATGTTAAAACTATTGGTTCTCTGGAGACCAGGTCCAGCCCAGTGCTGCCTGAGGTGGCGGCGAGCAAATCACTGGCATGTTGTTTGAAGCCGTATTTGTTTGGTTGGTCAGGGCGCGCGGCTTCGCGCCCTGTCTCCCGTTTCCCTGCGGTTTGGTCCCCCCTTTTACACCACCTCGGAACTTGCAGTCACTAGCCCAGTGTTTTCCTTTGCCACATCGAGGGCAGTACCCTGGGGGTTTTTTAGTGCAGTGTCTTTTAATGTGATCAGTTGCTCCACATCGGAAGCAACTGCCTTTTTCCTTTTCCCCTTCGGGTACATGCAGTTTGGCTGCTAATGCTGTGGCTAGTGAGTCTGTGTGGTGATTGACTGACCCGACATCCTGGCAAGCTCGGACCAATTCAGCTAATGTGCACTGATCGCGTTTGGGGATCGACTGCAGGGCCCTTCGACAGTCAGAGTTGGCATTTTCGTAGGCGAGCTGCTTGAAGAGCATCTCTCTCGCCTCATCATTATCTATTTGTCTCTCTAAGGAAGCCTGCAGTCGATCCAGAAACTTAGGGTAAGGTTCAGTGGACCCTTGGAAGACTTTGGAAAAGGATAGTTTAGAATCTTTGTCTATGCATGGAAGCTTTCGCACTGTTCTCAATACAAGTTTTGCGATTACTTCGTATATCTCTCGGGGGTAGTCTATTTGGGACTCGGGCTTTGAATGTGCCCCCTCCCCGACTAATTGAGCATAAGTCATTCTCGTTTGAGCATTAGTTTGGTCATTAATATAAACCTTACAGCTTTCTCTAAAGTCTGTGAGCCATACACTAAATTGTGTAGTGGTTAGTACCATTTTTAGTAGTGCCTTCCAGTCATGGGGTGCAAACATGTGTGTGCTACTTAGGGTTTCTAGGTAGGAAAACATGTGGGGTGAGGAGACACCACTCTCTTTAATTATCTGCCTTAAATCCTTAATCACCTCATATGATAAAGCTTGGTACTGGGGGCCTTGCCGGGGCCGATGTATAACAGGGCATGCATTTACTACTTTCCAGTCACCCACCCGAGATGCTTCCTCTCTGCATGTATCCCATAAACCTATGGAGGGACCCCTGCCCAATCCTGAAGTTGTTTCTCCTTCTGTGTTCTCTATAGACTCGCTGTCCATTTGTCCATCATAGTCTTCCTCCCCCCTTCCTGGCGAAATGCCTGAACCTGGGGGTGGTTGCTTCACTTCTGCCGCACAGCAGGGGCAACATGGCGGTGTCTCTGCTGCCACTCTCCTTCAGCACGTTGACTGTGCAACCGCCGTGTAACGGTCGCCCTGTAACGGTCCAGGGGTAGGCGCTGCTCTATAACTGCCCCCGGCTCCAGCAGCACCGCTCGCTGCTCTGTACGGCACGGTCTCAGCTGCAGCCATGGGCGCTGCCATGAAGCCAGCATCCTCCCCTGCTGCCATGCCCGCACTGTCACCCCCCAAGCCTGGGTGGGGCGGCACTGCCGCTGCACCGTTCCCCCCAAGGGCTCCCCCTCCCCCCCACCCCCCTTGACCAACGTGCATCCCCCTCCCGCACCACTCAGTCAGTGGGGGGGCTGGGGTTGAAGGGGGGGGGTTGAGAGGAAAGGAGTGAGGGAGGGGAGAGTCCACTCTCCCGGGTGCATTTGCCTTTCTGTAGTGCATATTTAAAGCTATCATAATGTCCTTCCATGTAGCTAAATTCTTGAGGGCATCTGTTTTTCCTTCACTGGCCTTTTCGATAATCTTGTTCCCTATTTTCCTCCAAGATGACACTTGATAAGGTCCAGTTAGAGGTAATGCAGGTTCATGTAACGAAATCCAATATAACAAGTCCCATAACTTACTTTCTTCTATGGTTATGCTCTGTTCTTGTAAAAGTCGAGAGATAGCTTCAGCTGTTTGTTTGATTTTTGGAGTAATTCCCTCCTGACGGGTAAACCACCCTCCCATATTCGCCAATTATTGGTTACCTCTGTGCTGAAGCTCTGTTGTCCTTTCTTCTGGTCCTTTTTTCTTCCTTTTCTGTTCCTTTTTGCAGAGGTAACCCAGCGCGCTGAATTCTTTCTTTTCTTCCTTTTGGTTTTGGCGATATGGACACCCCCGGACAGGTTCCCCAGAGCTGCTGCTCCTGGTTGCCGGTAACCTGCTGAAGTCCCTTATCGGACGGCCATTTGAGGTGTTGTTCAAGGCACGAACCCCACTCAGAGATGAACGAGTGCCAGAGCAGAATTACCGTTCATTCAAACTGCCTAGGTTTAAATACCACACCTGAACATGTCACATGACCTTCTAACCAATGACAATCAAGTATTGTCTGAGAACCCAGGAGACTACAACTCCCATGGTTCCTTGTCACATTCTTCCTGCCAAGCTGCCTGAGGAAACTCACACAGAATTAGGTTGGCAGCCTAAAGAGATGCACTGTAACTCACTATTCATGGCTGCCCACATGTGCTGGAGCTGTGAGTTCACTCATAGTCCATGTCTCTGCAATGCTGTGCAAAGGAGAGCTAGCTCCAGAGACAGTATTTCCCTTCTTACACTTATCAGTGTGGGTCTCCCTATCATCAGCTCCCCATAAAGCAGACTCTGTGCTGGTCTAATCGAGTCTTCAGTCTTCCTGTACCTCCTCCTCTTCATGTTAACAGTATGAATAGCAAGCAAAATCCTCACAAATATCAGACTCACTTAGCAAGCAGCTGCCATACAGAAGCCTATGGCAAGCCAGGCTTTATGTGGCTCAAACTCTTCCCTTGAACGAGGAATAAGTGCAAACCTCACACCTGAGCTACCACACCCCTGTGTCTGGTGTCAGTGAGGGATAGTGTCCTTTGAACCACAGACTTCTGAGCAGCCAGGGTCGGGAAGGAAAGGAAAGGTGAATAAAACTAGGACAGCAACACCTTGTCTGACCAAAGATCCTTGCAATCTTTACTCTCACAATAACTGTCAGAAGGCGCTTCTGGAACAGTTAGGAAACAAGAAAATCTCACACTGATGTGTTTGCTGGATGACCTGCATACCTCAGTGGCAACTCAAACTTCTGAACCAGGAATAGCATTTTCGTATTTATAAATTTTTCTTCCATTATTTTGTCCAGTCACTTTTTATCTCAGATAAATTTCTCACATTAAAAACTTCCTTTTGGCAGGAAATTCCACAATTACACATTATATGAAAAACTATCTTCCTTGTCTGGGACTTGTCAATTACTTGTTTCATTCGATGACTTTAGGGTTATTACAGTGTAAAAAACAGTTCTAAGTATTGTTCTCACAAGAACCATCATGAATATATAGAACTGTGTCACACCTTTCCTATGACATCTCCTTTACAAAAAATCCCAAACCATTCCATACCTCTGATTTCCTGTGTCTCCCTTTGACTTTGACAGAACTTGTGCTCCTTTCAAAGTTGAGATACCAATTCTACATTCAATATTCTTGTTGCAGATGGAAGATTTAAGTGGAACACTAACATCTTCTATTTTGAGCAGCATTTATCATCATACTTCATAATATTTTATTTTGGTTTTTAGTTAGCATTGAGCATAGTTTTCATTGAATTACAAAATCTGGAGTGTTCCCTAATACATATCCTTCAAATATATCTACCTCAACTTTTATTTTCCATTTGATCTATGGCTCTCACATTATTATGATGTCCTTGTGCAGTACTTTGCTGGTCTCTCTCATTTTCAGAACCTTGATTAACTTAGTAGAGCTTGTGATTTTTTTCACCTTACCTCTCACTTTCTCCTTAAATCATTCACTAAGGTGATAAACAGCACAAATATAATTGAATCATAGAATGGCCTGGGTTAGAAAGGACCTCAAAGATCATCTAGTTCTAAGCCTCTTGCTGTGGGCAGGGACACCTTTCATTAGACCCATGTAAGACTTCACTAGTGATCTCTTTCCACCATGAAAGTTTATTTTTACTTGATTTTTCTCATATCAATATTTTCTCCATGTGAGAAGATTTTCTCTTATCTCACAGTAAGTCAGTTCAAGAACTTTTGGAGAAGAAACTTCAAAAATAAATGCTTTTGGAAAACCAAATGGCTACATCAACTTACTTTTCTTACTTACTTGTTTACTTCTTCAGAGAAGTCATAGATCATTAACTGATTAAAATTCTTTTCACAAAAACTTGATGATTCTTTTCTAATATATTTTGATGATTCTTTCCTAATATGTTATAGTCCTTATTCTATTTATCCCTATTTATTAATGTTTTATCTAATTCTATCCTTTACTGTAATTTTCACAGATTTTCTGGGTACACATATAATTTACAGATTTATATGAGTCCTTTAATGATCTAAAAAACTGCATCTTCAATCTGTATTACAAGGGAATTTATATGCTACAGTTAATATTTCAGCTATCTTATCCAAGGAAACCTATGGAATCTGAGAGGCAGAGTTTTTGAAAATTGTTAAGGTTCAATTTAGAGATTTATTCCTCAACTCCTCCTATTTATATCTTTTTTTTTTGAGACACACATAAGTTTCACACACAAATATGAATAACTATGTTTCAAACTTTCTAAAATTTTGTTGTGAAAATTTTTTTTAAAGTATTTTTTTTACCATAATTTTTTACCAAAATTATCTTCTCTGAACTCCCTTCAGAACTCTTGGCAAGCTTCCTACTCCTAATATATTTGAAAAATGATTAGTACCTTTTATGCCTTTTGTAAATTGTTTCTTAGATTCTTTCTTGACTTTTTTTATATGTTCAAATCAATAGTTATTGTAATGCTCTTTTTTGTTTTCTCCCTTAGTATAAAATATCAAGCTTTGGCTCTGCTATTCTGAGGAGTCACAGCAGCCTGTGCAAACACATAGATGTAAATTCTTGGATACTCATAGGAGATGCAAACTAAGAGATGAGAACTGTGTGCATTTCTTTGTGTGTCTTTTTGGAGTGGTGACTTAAATGTAAAAGACATCAGTGAACAAGTTTGGCATGGAATCTCACTTTATATGTCTGAAAAGCGGAAGCATATTTAAGAAATACTCTCGTATATAAGAAATAATATAGTTTTAGCAGAGAAGAGCATTATAGTTTTAGCAGAGAAGAGCATTATTTAAACCTCCAAATTTAATCAAACAGATATTTGTTGTCTCTACATACACAGCCTCTCTCTTGCCAAAATATAAGTTAAACTGTGCTGACATCTATACAGTCATATAACAACAGACTTCAGACACTGGCAGAAAATAGGCTGCACATTGTGTTCATAGGTGTTTTGTTTCAAGATAACGTACATGCTTAAAACAAGTAGAGACTCCACAGTTTACCCATAATGCTCCAAAGAACTGTTCCACAGAGTAAGAAGACGAATCTACTTTCTTCTAAAATACCAAGTTTCTGGGATCCAAACTCAGTGGATGCATGAGTTACTTATTTTTAAAAACTATTTTAAGAAAATCTTAAAAATAGATGTAGAAGTTGGTCATTTTAGAGAAGGTTGTATCTTGGAAACTCCTTAGCTAAAATATCCTGGGTCTTAGCCTAGCAAAGCAATTTTACAGAGTAAACTCATGAGGTATTTGATCATTACTAAAACAAAACAAAACACCAGAAGAAAACACAACTGAAATTAAAATACTTGAGACACAAACGATATTTTTTTAGTTCCTAGATACATACACCAACAAACAAGTGAACACAGAATCTCCTCCATCACAATTAGCAAAGCGAAAAATAATTTTTCTATTCTATACAAAGAGTGGTTTGCTTCCACCATCTGTCCAGATAAGCTATTGACCAAAACATGAGCAAATTGAGGGTGTTTCACATCAAAACATTCTTGGCCTTCTTGAGACTCAGCACTGTAGAAGGAGCATATTAGAATTTCCCAGGAAAATTGTTTCTTCCAACTAATGGTTAGATTAACTACACATAATTAAGCTTGTATTCAAAAGTATAGTAATCAAAATTAATGCTTGTATGGTGTTTTACTCTTTAAAAATCAGTTTAGTTGACCGTTCTGCTCCCTACAGAATAACACACTGAAGTAACAAGTGCACCAGTCAGTGAAATGCTTTATGGAGAACAAAATACAAGTACTTTGTTTCATTGGAGAACTGCCATAATCATATGATAGTTATACTATAAGTTATGGTTAAGGAGACAGGACAGTGCATTAGATTAATACTTTGCCTTCCTAATCTATTAACATACCACCTCTGGGACATGATTTTTAAATCCACTGCACAGCAAAGTGACTGAAAATCATTCCACCCTGACAGCTTTAAAAGATCACAAGTGAAATATGTTAAGAAGGTCTCAATCCAGTTGATACTGAACAGGAGCAGCCACCTCAGAAGCTACCCAGCAAAGGTCCTCTTTCAGCATTCTCACCCAAACAGATAGCTTTATTACAGAGAGTATTTCATACTAGGCTGGTATGCCTATGATATGCTTGAAATGCACACTAAAGCAGTCCAGGACAAGTGCCCTACAGATTAATTTTCAAAGAATATTTTATGTCTGCTCATGTATAAAACTTTAGGAAAACATTTTCCCTACTGATGCTGGTATGAAAAGTGTAGAAGGATAAATTGTAAAAGCTATGCATTTTATTGTTTCTTACATTTTTAGAATGAATAAGAAAAAGTCATCTAGAACTAGAAAAAAAGCTACATAAACTGTTTTGCATCAGTATTACACTATTCTAAATTATAACTGTAAAATCTCTAGCTGGACTAGACTATTTTTCTAACTACTACTATAGTTAGCAACACTGCAATTTTTCAAATATGTAAAATATTCCAGATAATGCTATGGTTTCTTTTCTCTTACTAATAAGCGTGAGTAAAGACAAATAGCAACATTACTACTTTTCCTGCTGGTGAATTCCTAATTAAATAGTTTATTAGCAGATTATCTAATCTTCATTTAATGAAGACATCCAGATGGTGTATCTTAAGTAAAGCAAAAAGGGAAAGAGCTGAATACTGAAAGCACAACATAATTGGGTATGGTCAAGTTGGAAAAGATTGAATTCTCATGTTACTGTTACTGTAATAACATACAATTTTCTCTAGAAATTGTCAATGAGTGATGACCTACAGAAAATCCTTTGACTATTCCAGTTATAATTTTAAACATGCTTGACTGTGTTTACTTCACTTCCATTTGACAGTAGTCTTCACCCCATGGTCTTGTTTCTGTACCCTAATTGGATCATTTAATCTTTCTAGAGTCTTTCTACCTCAATTAAAATCAAATTGAGGTTTTTTTTCCTTTAATAAATTAATCATGACCAAACTTCTCTAATTAGAGTGAACACTCAAAGGAATAAAACTTATCTGAAAGTGGCATTTATGC